AAATATATGAGAAAACAAACACTTGTCCCTACATTTTAATTGGTTAAGTACTTATTCCTCAATTAAAATACTCTACTATTCAGAATTTCAAACACAAAATCACTGAAAAACACAACAGTAAACAAAACACAAAGAAGGTATTCTTCTTTAGTGAATATGATCTTATAGTTACAAGCTCATGCGCCTCAGACAGATAGAAATAGATACTCACAGGCGGTGTGGGAATGATTTGATGAAAGGACGGCACTCGTGTATTTCATGTGGTGAAGTATATTGAGTCCCTTCAACCAGACTAGCCAGTTCGGTCATTACTGCACCCTGCGTGAGCAGTGTTGTTGAATCATGGGGGCCTTCTCCTGAGTGATCATGACCCATGTGTTGCCTGGAAAACCAACATGAGATTTCAGATTTTACGTACCGATACTACGTTCTTTTCTTAAAACTGGGTGTTTAAAACTCATAACACTCAGTTTGAGTGGAGTAGACAAACCTTCTCATGAGATCAAGTGCTTTTGCATTCTTTTCAGGAGTTAAGGCTTGTGGAACAGCATCTCTCATTGAGGAACTAAGGTTGCTGCAGTCATCATCAGCATCAGTGCCTGTTTCTTCATCATCATCATCATCTAACTCATCTTCATAGCAAAGCATGACATCCATTCCCTTATCAGATTTTAATTTTTCTCCCCCTCGCTCTTTCCCTGAAATCACATTTCATAATCCAGTAAGGCACGGCAAATGAATGAATAATTTGTTGATATAAGAGAAGAAAATTATAGATTATTAAACTAAAGAACGAAAATTAAAAAAAGTTACATACCTGCGATGGACTTGCGGGGGCGCTTTCTCATACCATATACTATCCTCTTTCTCTTGTTGACAACTGGGGGTGTTTCTGCTAACACTTCATCTTCCTCATCAGCATCCATATCATTGTCACTCATTTTGCCTGTCCTGTTGAGTTTGATTGGTGCGGTGGAATCTTCACAATCTTTACTAACTCGTGCAGGTGGCCTATTAAAGCAGTAACTTGTGATAAAGGATACATAACACATCAACTAGGTACGGTATAATGAAATAAAAAATATTGTTACCTTTGATCAATGTCAGGTCTAACATCTTTTTCATCAGAATTGACCTTTTCTAATGATTTGGGTTTATCTGATAAATCAACAGGCTTTGGTGTATGGGGGATCAGTTTAGGGGTTGAGACGCCAGGTGATTGTTCATCGTCTTCATCTTCTTCTTCCTCTTCTTCCTCTTCCTCCTCCAGATCTTCAATTTTTAAGCTGTCTGCAAAAATATTTTTTTTCCCAATTTTAATTAATTTGAAGTAAATGAGTAGTGAGAAGTATACTAGAACTATATAGCTGCATGAAATTAATTTAGGTAAGGCATGTAAGCCTACAGTTGAAACTCATTCTTACCATCAGAAGAGTCATCACCGTTTCCTGCTGTGTGATGATGTCTGATGTGTTTTCTATGTTTTCGAGGCTGTTTGCAAGGTGTTGGACCATCACTTGTTTCACTTGGACTCTTCCGTCCATCACTCTGAGCAGAGCTTTCACCCTGATAGAGAGAGAAAGAGTAATATTTTAAATTTAAGAAACAAAACTTGAAATTCTTAAGCAAATTAAACCTTCGCATTCTGTACCTGATCATCATCTGAATTTGAAGGTTCCATGCTTGCACTATTGTCGCAACTACTAAACGGTGAAGCAACAACACGACAATCTAAGCCAGGCATGGGCACCTTGCTGAGGTCTGTGAGACCACCAAGGCTGAGGAGCCCTGCGGCACCACCAACTCCTACTACACCATCTGTGGAGAGGAGCCCATGCACATGACCATGCCCATGGAGATGGCTAACATGAGGTGTTCCATGTAATGGATTAGTGCCTGTGCTACTTGTCCAGATAAATTTTATGAGGGCAGATGCTAAATACAAACTCTGCAAAAGAAGAGGGTAAGTAATCACATCAAAGAGTAATTGAAAGGTAGATTCAAACAAGTCAACAAAATCATTATCATACCTGCTCTGTGTGCTCTTTGGGTTCCAATCGGCAAAGTAATGAATACAGATGCATCACTGGGCCAACTTCTAAGTGCTTTATAAGTGGAGGCAATAGATCATGCACTTGTCGACTACAGTGTTTTAATTGAGCTGCTTGCCAAATAGTGTCAATATGATCGCTGGAAATGCGACATTCCATGGCAAGGAAGGTGAGAATCATGTGACTCTGTTTTATGACCTATAAAATGAAAGACAGTCAAATGCTGAGCAATCATGTAAAACATCACCAGTTAATGATGAATATCACTAACAATAACCTACCTCTACATGTAAATTAGGGCCAAATATGTGAGCAATAATTTTATTATTTATCAACCACTCTGCCAATTTCTGTCCTACATTTTCAATCTCAATTATATTTTCATTGTTGCACACTTCATTAAATAAAGTTATGTGACTATTAATTTGTGCAATACCAGACAGACGCATAGTTAAAGTAGGACTTGTGAAATATTTAAAAGCTAGATCTAGACCGTCAACATCAAAAGTGACTGGAGAATCCATGGGATCTTTCACGGCACTCCACATGAAATCTGTGGACACAAAGATGGACAATGAGTGACTAAGTCTGAAAAATCAAATCAATAGATAGTTAGATGTCTGAATTTAGAGACTTACCTGCCATTGTGCGGATACTAGGTAAGCGTAATTCTTTGTCTGATAAACTACACATGTAGCGCATTACTTTTGCACGAAGAGGAACAAACAGCTGAACTACAGATCGAAAATTGAGCCACAGTTTCAAATTGCAAACAATCGCAATAAGAGCATGAGACATAGACACTGGCAACATTTGCATGCATTCAACTTGCTCAAATAGTTGAGTCATAGCATGCATGCCACCAGCTCTACAAAACACACAAACATTGCGGAAAAGATGAAGAGGAATTTCAGTGTCATGTAGATCACAATAGACAGTAATGGAGTTCATTTCCTGAGAGCTGACCTCTTCCAGCTTGGCCTGCAAGCTGTGTTTGTAAACTACATATAAAGGAAAATTTAACAAAAACACCTGTGGGATGAGAAAAAAAATGATTAAATACATTATATGTATAGTTTCTGAGACTCTTTTGTGTCTACTCATAAATAATAGACAACAGATAGCAAAACATTGATTGATTGGATCAATGGGGGAGTGCGGTCAATGAAATAAAAAGTGAAATTACCTTTGAGACAAATGTCAGTAGCTTTTCTATGTCTTCAAAACTCCATTTTTCTTTGAGAGCTACCTTGTTATGGTCTTCACCTTCTACAGGCTTCACATTTTCAGTCTTAGTGGGGTTGTCAGTCTTCTCTTGAGGATTAGAATGGGAGTCACAACTGGATTTCATTTTCTCTGGGTCTGAGTCATCTTGATTTATCTGCTCCCCTTTATCATCATCCACCTCTTTGTCTTTCTCTCCATTGACAACTGGTGTTGATGGTTCTGGGGGTGACTGTTGGTTGCTCACAGTTATTTCTTTTTCATTGGATTTGTCTTTAATTTCCAATGCTTCTGGAAACATTAGAAATGTACAAGTAAAGAGATAGATGTTATAGATGGAAACAAAATTAAATTAATTAGTGTTGTGATTTCAAAAACACACCTGGCACTTTTTCAGGTGCTTCAGTAGCTTTATCAGCTTTAAGTTTTGAAGCTAGTTCTTCTTTTAAATCACGCAACTGTTTAATGGCCATAAGAACAATGCTTTGGGTAATAACACCAAACCTTTCATAATTTTTCGCCTCACGGAAGCAGCACATGCACTGTCTAAATAGATAGAAAGGTCATTAAGGTCATTTCATCAAGAAAATTCAATATGAATCGATATGCATACTGATTCTATACAAACCTCTGTGTCCATGACTGTACATACTGAAGTACCACTTCAAATTCATCTTTTTGTAGGTATGGTCTCTCTTCATTTTCATTTATTATCTTTTCCTCATCTGTAATGTAAAGTATTTCAAGCATAACAATAGTTGTCGTTATCACATTATCAGGTGTAGTGAAAGAAAACAGACTATTGAGCACTTCTAAAGCAAATTATAGACATAATCAAAATAACATTTGACGTGTGGGATAAAAAGCGGCATCTTGGCATTGCAGATTGGGTTCAAGATGCTGCTTTAGTTTTATTATTTTACAATGCACATTGTTTTTTAAAGGTAGAAATCTTTGAGCTGCAACAGTGAATAGTGCATGAAAACAGTAGCTTTTATCCCCACACTCATTCGCATAATTCTTCTGGTCGTTGGTACATAAAAGACGCCTCAAGAATGGCACTGGAAAAAGCATGTTGTGTATCCAGTGGTTGAGGAGAACATTAGACCAATATTAAAAAAAGGAGTAAATGTAAAAGGTTGACCATGCAATTTATTATTTTGATATTGAGATAAACTTTGTTGGGAAAAACAACATAACCAAATTCAAGTGGGTGACTTAGCTTTAATCTTAACTAAAATGTCAAACCACGAAGCGGAAAGAAAAAAAAGAAAAACTAACTGTAGAAAGCAGCAGCAAAATTAGTCAAAAATAAAAAGAAAATAGTAAGGTTGAAAAGAAATGTCAGCAGTCGACTACATTTCCAACACTTTCAATAGGAGTCCAAAGAATTGAGCAGGACATGGTTTATGAAGGAAGATCGGATATAACAAGAAAATGTACAAATATTGAAACATGAATCAATGAAGTCTTTGTGACAACTATTTGAATGAAACACATCAGCAGTGTGGATTCATTCAAACTGTGCAATGAAGGATAGAATCAAATTTTTACTATCCAAACAATGTCGAGTTCTGTTCATATACATTGGCATTTTCTAATTAACTTTGGATGAAGACGTTCAGAGCTACGAGCAAAGATATAAAACATTGTAATACAACGAATGTAGGTTAAGAGTTTGATGTTCCGAAAATTTGAACGGACGGTAAGAGGTATTAAATGGAGACCTTGCAATGAAAGTGGTGAATGAAATCAAACATGATATGGGAGAAACCACTATTTAACAAAGAAGACAACAAATAATGTTCAGTATTCCAGTCAAACAAATAATACTCTCAAATTTCTAGGCCTCGCGCATTAACCAGACTATACCTAAAGATTGAATTGTTTGCTTACAAGTTTGGAGAAGCTCCAGGAAATCCGCACAGATATCACACATTTTCATAATCCCTTAACGAAGCGAATTCATTACTTAGATGCATGTGTATTTTGCAAAATCATTAGCTTTGGTCATCTTTACAGTGGAAACTTGTCGGCTACATGAAAGGAGAGGCAGCCATATTATTTCCTATTCATCTCAATAAACTGCCTTCTCTACCGCGTAAACAGCTGTTTCGAACGTTCTATTCTTCCGGTTGTTTCCGGCGGAAGCAGTGTTGTCGGGTTGAAGCTAAATTTGAACTTGAGAATGAAACGAAATAACGGAAATAACAAATAGGTCGGGGCAGACAATCACCAGTGACCAATGATAATTATTCTTCACAGTTCAGGATTCATAACTACTCATGGACCACTAACACACGGTATTCCTGAACACATTTGGGCAGGCCTTCCCTTCCTTACAGCTAGGTTGTCTTCATCTCTGCCCACAAGCAAACCAAACACCCCCCCCCCTCCCTCAACAACTCCCCCTTCCCTCCGCCTCCGCCTGCGTACCTCACCATAACCAAAAAGTCATAACAAACAACTGTATCAACAAAACGGAAATTTGCTCAGATTTTAGTATGGGTCTCCTTACTGTTTTGAAAAAGTTGAAGCAGAAAGAAAAAGAGATGCGTATTTTGATGTTGTATCCTTTCTGTAGCTGTCATCTCATCTCTCCCCGTGTTTTACAGATCTGACATTTCTTTACCTTTATTCAACAATAAGTTTGTAAACGTAGTTTTGTTCCTTGTAGAATGACTTACTTGACACTTTATCGCTCATATTCCTCTTAAGACCACGTGCCGTCATAATTATTATTTAACCACAGTCCGTTATATATTATCAATAATTTTCAATAATCATAATTACAGTGTATGTTCTATATTTTCCTTCATTCCATTCTTTAGAGGTTTAGATAATGCTGGTAAAACAACAATTCTCAAGAGATTTAATGGTGAAGATATCGACACAATATCCCCTACTCTTGGATTCAATATTATTACTCTTGAGCATCGAGGGTTGGTATTCTCATTCTCCTCTACTTTTCACTTAATTTTCATCCGTAACTGCCATTTTATTCATTGTCATCATTGTCTGTGTTTAGATTCAAGCTTAATGTTTGGGATGTCGGAGGTCAGAAATCTTTAAGGTCGTATTGGCGTAATTATTTTGAGTGCACAGATGGGCTCATATGGGTTGTAGACAGTGCAGATAAGAGACGTCTCTTAGATTGCAAAAAGGAACTCCACCAGCTACTTGATGAAGAGGTAATGAGAGAGGCAGTTTTGTCTTGAGATTGTTTCCAATTTTGGAATATATTAAACTTTTTCTTGTCATGGTACCTTTACAGAGACTTGCTGGTGCAACACTACTTGTTTTTGCTAATAAGCAAGACTTGGCAGGAGCATTATCATTTGAAGAAATACGAGACGTAAGTAT